TTAAATGTTAAAGCAGTGGTCCACCTAGCTATAGTGCTCATCTTTCTGTWCTTTCTAGACTTGTATTAGGAAATGGAATATCACAATGTTCATTTTTATGATTCTAGCAATGKGTGATGCTCTTAGGCCTTAAGTGCCTCAAGAGAAAAAGATGCTTGGAAAAGTGTCCCTTTATAAAGACAGGTGTATTGATAGATATGATGGTTGTGGAGACCATAAATGTCTTTTTGAGTACAGAGCTGACATCACTGTAGAAAATTTATCAGATACTTGAATTATTCATATGTTGTTGAAGTTGGTTTAGAGAAAAGAAGCTCAGCAGAGATACAGCTGTCCCTTTGTTTTGTTGTATTCCCTCAGTGAGATGAGGAAAGGTTTAATATTCATTTAATTAGGCAGTGTGGTAGAGGGATTTTGAAATGCTAATGGCTGAAATTATGCAAGACTTCAGAGAAATTAGATTTATTTGCACTTCAAAACCACATTTCTGCATCTTGTTAGATGGCACAGTAGTATCACCAATGAGTACTTTTATTTAAATCTGTTACTTTGCAGAAAGCCATGGAGGGGTTTACATAATTTCCGGTACAAAGCAGGAATGTTTCCACATGGTGGGGAAGGAGAAAAGTAGCAAATGTTTCTCCTTTTAACTTTTACCTTTAAGATGTTTGCTTGGGGTTGAGTGAAACCACAGCACAGCACTTGTGTCATAGTACTTTTGCCTTCAGCTCAGAAATAAACAGCTTTTATCACAACTGGCTTCTGACTGTTAGCACATAGTTGTGGAGCCAGTTGTGCCATGTTGGATACTTTAACATCTCTGCAGAGCTGTGGCACTCCCAGACAAGTGTCACCTTGAGGTACCCAACTGRGTTGTCATGAGATTCCTTTGAACAGATAACTGGTTTTTATTGCAGGTTCAATATTTAGAACCCCTGGTGAGCCCCGGTACAGGCTATTATGGAGAATAATTGATCTGAATTCATGAGACTGAGGTGAGGAAAGAACTAGCAGCATGTTTCTCGGGTTGCATGTAATGGTGTGAAGTGATTAATTTAAAATAGTTTCAGGGAGATCTGTTTATTTTCACTTCTGCCATCAGTRTAGAAGCTTCGGGGAAGAGTCAGAAAAAGGGTACTGGGGTCTCATTACAAACCTAATTTTAGTTTCTTGTTCTGGTACCACAGAGAGTGCAAACCCTTTGCCATTGTCAGGAAAGAACTGGGAGATTTGGATTTCTGTAAGAATTCATTTGAATGTGGTGGCAGTAGGAGAAAGCTACCCCAGGGCTGTTTTAAATAACTTTTGACTGTTGCCTTTGGGTGTGCGTGTCTGTTACAGGAAAGTTTGAACCCAGAGGTTTCTCATGCTGACTTCCTGATCTCTAGATGTTTTACATCCATTTTTCAGGGGGTGTCTGTGGTGTATTTGATGTGCAACTTGCCTGTTTTTAAATAAAGGAACGTAGCTCTTGTCTTATGGAAATTAAGACAACAGAAGAGCTGAAGAAAATGGATTTTTTTAATTAGTCAGCTTCAGGTTTTCCTTGCTGTCTGAAATTACTTTGACAATTGTATCATAGGATCCTGTTGCTGGAAAAGTTGTCTTTTACACAAGACACTTCCTGTGTGAAACTGCTACAGCATTTGAGTTTTGGTTCTTTAAAATGGCTCATTTTATTTTTGGGAAGGGTAATACCAATCTTAAAAGCTGATCTGAGATAAGCAGGCTAATGGTGTTTCAAACATTCCAAAACAATGGGTGCCCTAGTAGTAGAATGGGCTTTAAAATGGTGCAAACTTTAAAGTGTGTGGTTTGAATGCTTTTGTTTGTTGGTTGGGGTTTTTGTTTGCTTTTCCCTGTGAAATCTTAATGCCATGTTCACTCTGAGTGTCAAGTGTCTGTCCTCTCTCCCCTGTGCAGGTTTTTTGAGCATCTCTGCTGCCTAGGTAGCAAACCTCCTCTTTTTCCTTCCACCAACCACTGCAGTGTGCTGTGTAATCCAGTTGGAAATCAAAGCACGGCAGAGATTGAGAAGACCCTTTCAGAAAGAAACAGGATTTTATATTGCACTAAATAACAGAAACTGCTCTATATGAATTTCATTATTCGTTTCCATTTATAGGAGAGCTGAAGCCTAGATTTTCATCATGTGAGTTAAGCTCAGGATTCAAGTCCACAGGCACTGAAACCTCAGACTGTGCTGGGTAACTTGTCTGAGCTTGTGGTGGTCTTTGTCTGGGTTCTGCAGAGARCAACACTGCATTGGCAATTTAATTACTTGACAGTTGAAATTCCATGAAGTCTTGTAGCAGTCCTATGTGCAGTCTTTAAAGATTTTAACTCCTTCCAGACTCTCCTTGCCCTGTTCCTCATACCAGGTCCATAGCTTTTGTTTGTTAGATCAGATAGTGCCCCACAGTTTACTCTGTTTCACATAATCCATCCTCAGTCCTCAGCTCCCATCTTTTCAAGTTTAATGACTCTGAAGAGTAATTTGTTAGCACTCCTGTTTTTGGTAGATTTGTCCTTCAAACCACCAGTGTTTTCTGTGAGGAAATGTCCTTGGAATGCCAGAACATGGCTTTGTTTATATCACCAGGGGACCAGACCGAGCCAGCACAGGTTTATGAAAGGCAGGTCCTGCTTGACCAACCTGATCTCCTTCTATGACAARGTGACCCAGTTGGTGGCWGAGGGAAAGGCTGTGGATATTGTCTGCCTAGACCTTAGCAAAGCCTTAACACCATTTCCCACAATGTTCTCCTGCAGGAACTGGCTGTCATGGTGAAAGTGGCTGGGTGGCCAGGCCCTGAGTGTGGTGGTGAATGGATTCACATCCAGCTGGCAGCAGGGCACTACTGGGATTTCCCTGGGCTCAGTATTAGGGCCAGCCCTGTATAAAATCTTTATCAAGGGGTTCAGGTACACCCTTAGCCAGTTTGCAAACAACACTGTGTTTAGTGGTGCAGTTGGAGGTGAACAGCTGAACTTGATGTTAGAGGTCTTTTCCARTGTAAATGRTTCTACAGTTCTATACKGWGRAGCACCRATATACWGARTGTKTTTATCAGTTTGTCAAGTGTCTGTTTTGAAGAAACTCAGCAGTCTCTCCTGAAGTTTTCCTTCAGCYTTATCTCTTTTGTGTGCTTCAGTGCAATTACCTTGAATGCCAGTGGTGTTTTGCTGGCAAATCTCATAGCACAGTGCAATCTTGTGTGGGTTTTCCAGGGAGATAKGAGCTTTTCTTGTTGTTCTCCAGGCTAGCTGGTTGTGAGCTTGCTGAGAACAAGGTGATGTGCAAGGTGCTAAGCTGGARCTAATGCATTTATTTTTCACAAAGTTGTTTTTTGTCTATGTGGAATGCAGGCAAAGCATGTTTGAGTCCCCCTGGGAAAGCCACAATAACCCTTTAAAGACTACATCATTCTGGATAAGTCTTAAATTATGAGGTGTTTGAAAGTGCTAAGAGCTTTGTACAAGAACCAAAACTAAGAGTAATTACTAACAGAGTTACAATAAAAACATATCACTGAAGATATTTTTCACCATATATAAGTTTTACACTTCTTGTATAAAATAAAGAGCCAGAAACAAGAAAGAAACTGGTATCTAACCTTTCTTTCCTGACTTGCAGTGGCTGACTTGCTACTTCTTTTTAGTACTGTTTCAATGAGTGGATAATGGTTGAGTAAAGACAAACATAAARTGCAGACAGTGGGTGCTAGATGGAATATTAATAGAGGAAGAAATGGATCGAGCTTCTTTCAAAATAATTATGTGGCAGTGTTGCAAAGCAAAAAAGCAAAACTGCTTTTTTTGGAGTGGATGCGGAGATTGATGGCTTCTCCAGTTTAATGGCAGACCTTCAAAGTATTAAAATGAGGTACAGCTTTCCATGAAAGAGGCAACACAAACTGTTTGTCATGTGTCTGTCATGGATACTGACTCCCATGGAGTTAATCCCATGCTATTGTTTCTAGATCTTGGCAAATTTTGTTATGCCAAGCTCAGAGTTGTCTTGGTTTAAGAACTTATTTTTGTCTTTGTTGCTATTGATGTTCCACCAAGGAAGAGCTGAAAGGAGGTCTGGAAAAGGGGAAGAGAGCATTTGGTATAAGTACTTTGTCTCTTTAAAGCATTGGTAGTTTGTGGCAATGCCAGTGTGTTTCTCTGGATTCTCAACAGCACAGATGCTCCAGATGCTTGGTTTATGTGTGGTACATTGTGTCATTCTTGTCACTTGTATTTAAGGCTTCCTTTAACTGAATGACAGTGTAGAAATAATAGGACAGAGAGGCAGAAAAGTGTAACCTTTTGGTGAAGCTAAAAGCTTGAAAGAGCATCAGATCTTTCCCCAGAACAGAGTCTTGCCTGGAAGGAAGCAARAGTACCTTCAGTCATTCTTTGTAACTGGTGGAGGTGAAAAGGGGTGGAGGGGAATTCTGCATTGCCACAGGGGGACCTGAAAGCACATGCAGGAATTGTGTRCCAAAGCAATCTTGAATTCAGTTTCAATCGTTCTTCTTTTTAACCAATTTTAGAGTACGGTGGCAAGTGGAAACTGCTCCATTAYTTTGCCCAGAACTTCTTTGCACCACTGCTGCCTGTGGCCTATGAGGACAAAGGGATGTTGCACATTTATGGCATCTCAGATCTCCAYGTGGACCACAAGCTGACTTTGAAGGTAAATGACACTTCCCTCACCACTCTGGTGTGCCTCCTGCAAAAATGTGAGAAGCTGAAATGTATATGTCTTTGTACAGACAAGCTTCAGTGAGACCATGCAACTCTAATATTTAATCTTCTCAGGGGCAACACTATCCTTTATTATAGTGTAGTGCTTCACAGAAGGAATTGCTTTGCTTATAGCCTGTAGGGATAAGGCTGAAATTAACTATTCTGTTGAAATCTTAAAGGGATTGGTGGTTAAATAGAACAAAGTGTGAAAAATGGTACATCACTGCTTAACAAAACTGTTCCCTGAGTGTTAGAACTAGATGAAGTAGCAGGGAAAAAAGGGATTTTACTATTGCTTATCAGTACTCAAACTATATGGCTTTGGGAAAAAGGACAGGATTATTTCCTGGAATATTAACAACACATCTTTAATTGGAAGGTCACCTATGCATGTCACCATTTAAAATTGATGCCTTAACTGTTTTCTGATAATGCTGTAGAAACGGATAGGATTTTTAAGGCAGTATTTGGGCTACTGAGTTTTCTTGTAGGTGTCAGTCTTCCTTTTCATCTTGTTACATTTTGTTGCTGTTAATCATGTGACAGCCATATCCCAAATGAGTTTAGGGGTCATTGAGCACTATGAGATACAGCTCCTGACACAAAGTGTGAAGGCTGGAAAAAGACCTTGAGACCTGGAATGACTCACTAATCATTCTGGAACTAGTAGTATGAGTATGTCAGTTCCTAGATCACTGCTCTATCTGATGAGCTTCCATGAATTTTCAGATTTATGAGGTATCTTATATGTAGTAATGTATGTCACAGAAAATGGTTGCAATTTCTGGATAGTCAGTTCTTGGAGTTCTTGGACTGCACTTAATGAAATTGTTAATTTCTGGTCTGAATTATTCTAACASATGTAAATTCTGATTTTCTGATAGCATCAGAGAAGTGTTGGCAGCAGGGTAGTTCTGATGARTACTGTATATTGCACTTCAAGAAAATTGGGAACTTAACTCTTGAAAGGAGTTAAGATCTGCTCCTGACTGCAAACTCCTGTTAAAGAAAAAAAACAACCTAAAATTTATGGAATCCAATGTTATAATTCTCATGAAGTCCTTGTTTTCCAAATTATGCCTTTTTAAAAGGGTGTATTCATAATGCATGGAAGATGTCTGTGAATGTATTTTGTAGTATTAATACAACTTCCATAATCCCTTTTAAGATGATGCAGCTTGGTTCTGTTTGATGGTGATTATGCAGAAGCTCTAGCATACCCAGTTGGGTTACATCAGATAACACTGAGCAATCTGAAGAAAATTCTTTGTTTGACTTTTTTTAATCAAGGAAGGGAGGAAAAAGAGTCAACAAATTAGTCACTCAATAATTCCATTTCCCAGCACTCCCTTGGCAAGAATTGGCARTCCCCTCCTCTCAAGGAGCCTGGAGAAAACAAAAAGTCTTGCATATCAAGAGCAGCTCCAGACTGTTTGAAATGGATTTCTTGTTAGGTTTTTAATTATTATGCCCTATCTATTGTTTAAATCTTTGTGTAGTTTCTTGCTAGGTGGAAGTCAGCTGGTGCTGTCAGGAAAACATCTGTTGTAATGAGCAATCTGAAATCTAGGATGCTGCATTGTTTTTTACAGATGTAGTGTTTCCTACAAGCTGTGTGCTCTCTCCATRTGCTCAATAGGTCGTTGTGCACTCCTGGAGCTCTTTGGAGCCAGTTTGCACCCTTGCCAAAGAAGGTGTGACTGTTAAAGCACAAAGTGCTGTCCCCATCTACARCGAGTCCATAAGTGACCTTCTGGAAAGATGCAGGAATTGTACCAGGAAAAGCTGTGTTCTCACTTTCTGTCTCGTGGGAGAAGAGGGGCTCCAGAGTCCTAYGAACCATCACTTCCTTTCATCACTAAAGGATGCTGTGGGATTAGAAAAGACCCATCTTAGTGTAAGCATCAATCATGCTAAATTACTGTATTTGGTTTTGTTAATCTTACTGTGTTGAGTTGTTTGCCTGCTATGCAGTGTCTGATTCTGCTGAATTTCCTTCTCCTTAGTTGTTGCTATTCTGGCTTCCATGTTGAGTTCAAAATCAGGTTTTTTTCCCTGTGTCACTACATGTGTGTCTAAATAAGATTGGTGTAGTTTGTTTGTGTGTGGTTTTTTTTCCGGGCTTTGTTTTGTTTTAAATAATGACGTCTCCATTTCATTTGTTTAGACAGTTTTTCACCTTGCAGCATTGCTCTGTTCTTTATTTTTGTCCCTAGAAAGCAAATAGCATCATGGCAAGTGTTCTGTCTTCAGACAGCTCTGTATGTCAGTATGAGGTGATGCTGGTTCAGTTGAGTGTGGAGTGCATTATTGTCAGCAGTATTTCCTCCTCCTCCAAATCCCTGCCCTCCAGCAARGGTTCTGCTTTGCATAATAGTGATTATTTCTTAATAGTTGGCAAGTGTCAGTCTCCTGAACAGGCACACAAAGCATCAGTGCTGTAKAACACTGTCATTTAGTCAATTTGCTGCTTTTTCCTAGATTTMTTCTGCTCCCAGCAGGCTTGCTGTATATAGAGAGAGCATGCATGCCTTGTATGTGTGTACACACACATTTTGTTAAGCCTCACTTCTTAGCATGTACATCTTATTGCAAAATTCTTAATCATCAGATGGGCAGAAAGGAGAYCTTTGCAACCTCACATTTGGCTTTCAAACTGCAGCTTTGCTCTTTAGTGCAAAACTAAACAAGGGGGGAATAGAGGTCTAATCTCTTTGAATCTGGACCAGCATAATTGCTTTACAAAAAGGAAATGGGCCAGATTTTCCCTTCTTATCTCTTTCATGGCAGCACAGCCTGCTTCCTGAATATACAAAGG